CTTTCCATAGAAGCAGCAGTCCTTTTACACAGGGATCTGAACACTTGCACCACCAATGTTGGGGCCCAGCACAGCTCTCACCGAAACGCAAGCCATCGAGAGGAACAGACTGGCTCACACAGCACCCCATGAAATCCTCACTCCAAGCACTGGAAGCACGCAGGTAACAATCCAACCGGTAGGAAACAAATCAATTAATCCAACAGTAGTGCAGGAAGTTAGCCCTGAAGCAAGGCCACTGAATTAACAAAGCAGGGCAGTAAAGCAGCTTCACAGCAAGGTAGAGTCATTTCCATTAACAGAAGAGAGTCATTTAACAGACACCAAGATGTCCTGGTTCCAGCTAAACAGGAAAGATATTTTTTACCAGCTTCTGGCCACAGCTCCCACTGCAGCCAAAGCCCTGAGGGACCTGACCCTACAGCACTGCTGAGATCTGCCCAGCTTAAGACTTGAGTGCTGTCTCTTACAAAAGCTCATCTTTCCATTGATGGCAGGCAGCGTCCAGGGCAATCAGGCTGAAGTTAACACCTTGCTCACTGTTTACTCCTTTGAATCCTACTGCTCTGCTTGAATCAATCCCAGCCCTTCTTCACCCCAGATCAGTAAACTCTTCACTAGGTTATCCAACCAACCCACTCAATGAGTATCTGCAAGCCCAGATCTGCAAGGCTGAATCTAAAAGACAGCATTCACGACTAAGGCAGAGATGCAGAAACTACCTCCAAAGGTAACACCCACCCCATGTGGAGGTGCTTCCAAAGCAGCAAAGTATAAATATGCACAATTTTCTAGAAAATTGCTCAGCTGTTGTGGCTTGAAGCTGTACCTGCAGCTGCTCACTCATCCTCCCCTCACCCTAGGAGATGGGGGAGAGAATCAGGGGGTAAAAGCAAGGACACTTGTAGGTTGAGATAAATACAATTTAATAAGTGAAATAAAATCAAATGATAATGATAGTAATAACAGAATATATAAACAAGCGGTGCACAATGCAATTGTTCACCACCTGCTGACCAATGCCCAGCCTGTTCCTGGCTAGCAATCCTGGAGGAAAGAAAACCCTGAAATCACAATCCTGGAATACCACCAGCTTCCCTGCCCACCCTCATCTACATACTGACCACGACACGATATGGAGTATTCCATTGGCCAGTTTTGGTCCACTGTTCTGGCTGTGCTCCCTCCCAGCTTCTTCTGCACCTGCATGCTAGCAAGACATGGGAAGGTGAAAAGCTCTTGATTTCTTGGCAACTAAAGCCATCAGCATAATATCAACACTCTTTGCATGCTAATTCCCACACTGAAGTAAAAACACAGCACTATTATAGCTACTAAAAATAAAAACTACCTCTGTCCCAGCTGAAACCAGTACAATGACTTGTGAGCATGATGGTGAGTGATCAAGCCGAGACTGCTACAAGGAGAGTACTTACAGGATAACACACAGGGCACACTGCAGGAGCTCCATGTTCTCCAGGAGTGAGGGAGCCAACCTACACAGACATAGCTGTCCCTCTCCAAAAGCACTAAGCCAGAGGAAGGCAACACCACCACTGCATTGGTTACCAGCAAGAAGACAGTGGTGTCACACGCTGAACGCAGCAGCACAACACCAAGAGATTATTCACGCTCAACTAAATACATTATGTTCAGATGCTATGACAGAAAGGAAGAAAAAACTTGTCATAAAAAATGCTCACATATATGAGCACATAAGCAAATCAGTTACTTCTCAGTACCATCAGTTTCCTATTTAAAGTAAACTTGCAGGATTAATGTAGATCTGCTAATTTTTCTGCCACCAGCCATCTACCTCCTCCCGTTTGTGCATTTCTGCTCATCTCAGAAACAGCTATCAGCAAGCTTCAAAAGACACAGAAGATGTGATCATAAAGGTAACAGAGGTCTGTATTTTCCCCAGTTGAAAGCCTTTCCTTTCTTTTTAGCCCCCAACCTGTGCCCCTCCTACAGCTGGAAAATTCTGCAACCAAATTAACTTCTCCAAGACAGTTCCCAGTAGGTCAAAATCATGTAAAATACACTGTGCAAATAAAATCACATACAAGAGTAAGGCACCTAGATGAAATACATGATTTCAGCTTCAGTGCTCCTAAGAACATACTAACCCCTTTTGTGAGAGGGTAGCAATGTCCAGGAAAGTCATGAGCTGCAAAAACCATACCTTGTTTTCTAAGCCCCAGTTTGAAGCCTGAACAAAATGCCCTTTGCCCTTGGTTATAAATAAATTATAAACTTTCCAAAGATGCTTCCAGCCACCCAACGTACCGATCTAGTTTGGCATGTTATGGAAAGCCCAGCAGTGGGATGAAGTCACCCCTATGAACGCATCAATCCTTCCCAGTTATGACTTCTTAAGACAGGCTCCTACCACAAATGTGTTCTCCAGGCAGAACAGAAATCCAAAGGTACAGCTCCTCAGCCAAAATCCTGTCACTCCGATGCTACAGAAGCTCTGACAGCAGAATGCAGTAGTTAACTTTATAGAAGGCAGCAGGCTGAAAGCGGCAGGCCCTGGTGGGGCGTCAGTTTTGACCATCTATGCTTCAGGGTGAGGCCATAAGGAGAGAAGCTGCATTGCTGCTAATGCCACAAGGGCTGGCGAGCTCTCCGAGTCTGTCCTGCCAATGGCAGGTCTCTCTGAGGCCTGCGGCCATATACTCCTATTCAGAGGAGGAAAGGGCACAGCAGGGCGTGCCAGTTCTCAGTGTTAGGCCAAAATTTATCTCACAGGAAATGGTTCTCCTTCCACTCCTGCTCTGACCTCTGCTCCTCTCACCGGAGTACCACGTGTACAACAAATCAGAGGCACTTTGTCATTAATAGAGACCACATACTGCAGCAGCAAGATTACTCCTCCACCAGCAGTGGAAGAGAATTTTCCAGCTTGCTCAGGAAACTCTATAAACTTGTAAGCACTTGTCCTTGCTAGTTACCACCTTCAGCCTCAAGCAACATCTGAAAAGAAGATTAAGAAAAGATAACACTGTCCAAGGACACCAAGAAAAACATAACATCCAACAAAATATGAAATATACAAAACGTTTACCAAAGAATGCCCAAGAGTTACTAGCCAATAAACCTCAAACTATGGTTGTTTAAATACATTATTTAATATGCTTTCTTTAGAGATATTTTTAAACCCAAATTCCAGTCTTCTAGATCTACAGTAGACAGAGCTATAAACATTTACCAAGCCAAGTTTTTCATGTTTGCTTCTCTGCTGTTATTATTTAAGGAAAAGAAACTCAAAGTCTCTTGTTAACAGCAATCCTGTTCTAACTTGGCTGTTTCACCCTAGATCAGAATAAGGACAACAGCGTGTTACCACAGTTCTCTCCCAAAATGCAGACCAAAGGTCAAGCAGGAGCAAGAGACTGTCATGACCACACAGTAATTTAGCTTTTTAGAGTGACAAGTAAAAAAGAGTAGTTGGTTGGAGGCAATACTGAAAATAGTGTGTTGCTCCTTTCCCACAGGAATCACAAAAGAAGTATCTTTTTGCTACTGAAGTCAAACTGCCTTTGAACTCAGGTTCATTCGACACATTTGAGCAAATCTAAGTTTATGTAGGTAGCTTTGAGGTCACTTTTCTACCTTCTATTTTTCCCTCTTCTCTCCATATTTAATGCCTTCTTTCTCCCCTTCCTTAGCCCCACATTATCCTTCATAATTTCTATCTTCAGTTACTCAGTCCCAGTGGGACAGAGCCAGAGCAATGCTCCTCTTCAGTCTTCTGGCATTGTCAATACTGTGGCAAATGGCAAATCAATCGTGCTGAATTAGTACTCAGAAAGAAAAAGAAGAAACAGGTAAGTTCTTCAGACAGTTGTTTTCTATCTTTTAAAGGCCATTTTGCATGGCCATTAAATTCTAAAAGTACACATGAGCTTCTGCAGTTAGTATAAAAATGTGATCAAACTGGAAAAGTTTCAGTGCTCCTTGGTTTAAATTGAGCAGCACACTGATGCAGCAATCTCCTGTTTGAAGCCGCTGCTCAGCTATTCAGACAACAGCAGACATCAGGTGTAAATTTCATATTTATTGTAACAAAAACTATGACATGTTCATTTGTGCATTCAGCTTTAATATAACTCTCAGTATGTAAATGTTCTACACCACATGAGCTCTATACAATCATGCTGGTTGTGGCAGCAGTAAAGAACACGGAAAAAAACTGTCTGTAAAAGTAAGGAAAGAGAGACCAGAGGAAAAAGTGGTTTTCTTTAAATGGTCTATGTCATCTCAGTTCTAGCTAATTTATATACAGCCACTCAGTCAGTTACGCTCAGTGACCATGGTCCAAAGAGTCACTTAAGAAAAAAGGTCGATTTTTCAGCTTGTCTCCTTAATGCCAAGGCTACAAAACATGTAAGCATCACTATACAACATTGAGCTATTTACAGGAATTTCTCAATCAACTGTTCTCTCAGAGAAAATTAGTGAATCTCAGTGACTTAAGTCACCTGAAAGAGTAAAGCAACTCCTAGGAGTTAGTCTCCATATTCTACAAATGTCTATCATTTTCAAGACCAAAAAATGCCTTTTCTCTCAAAGAAATACAGTATTACAATATTACTTAAATCATTTAGCACTGGCTACTGCCCTGCTTTTCAAACAAAACAATCCATTTTAAAAAATATTACATCATCATCTGTTTCTCAGCAATATATTAAACCTTTTGTGTGTGTGTTTTTTTGTTTGTTTGTTGTTGGGGTTTTTTTTGTTTGTTTTGTTTTTACACTTGATATGTTAAGGGAAGATTAACTATTTTAAACTTTACCAGTCAAGCGTCTCTAGAAGAAAGTCAATATTAAACCTAACAATCTGAAAAGCTGCAGCTATCTGTAGTGGTAGGATAAGGAAAAGGAAGTAAATAAAGGAAAAAGATAAGGAAAACCCCTGCTGTAATGTGAGCCCGCTGGGTCCCGTGCTCAAGTCTCCCTGTTTGTCGGTTGATCTCTGAGCAGCAGAGTGGGTCATAGTGGCGTATCATAATAGTCTGCCAGGTGGTCCATTGGATATTGTCGCTGCTGCTGCTGCTCCTGATGCTGCTTCATTATCTCCTTGACTTCCTCTTCAAGCTCTGGTGGGATGATGAACTGGTCGTCCGGATCGGGCTGTGCGGGGGCAGCGAAGTAGCCCCCCGTTTTTCTGAGCGGCGCATCTGTCGCGACTTCAATCAAGTTGTGGCTCCTCTCCTGGGGCGCCACGGAACCGTTGCCCCGCCGGCGCCCTATCGTGCCCGTGGCGGAATTCTCAGCCCTCCTGGGGAGGCTGGGCTCCTCTTCGTTGGCACTAATGACGATCCCTTCGTCGCTGGCTTCCACCGGCACGTGGAGAAGCTGCTTCTCCTTGCCTCGGCCGCAGTGGATGTCCACCTCCACCTCCACGCGGCTGCCGTTGGTGAACACCCCCTCGATGGGCTCCTCGTCGTCGCTGTCCAGGCCGTTGTCGGAGAAGGCGCTGGAGAAGGTGGCGCTGGAGAGCTGCCGCTGGAAGGAGTTGGACAGGCAGACGGGGTGCAGCATGCAGCGCTGCTCCCCGGGGTAGGCCGGGCTGCTCTCGTTCATCACCCCCTGGGGGGGCTCGTCGGAGGCCGTGGAGCCCACCTCGCTGCTCATTTCAGAGGTGGAGATCTCGCTGCTGATCTCCGAAGCCATGCCGCTGCTCGAGGACGGCATCCCGAGCGCATCCGTCGGCCTGTCCTTGATGACCACGTTGACAGACTGGGGGAAGATGCCCGGGCTCGGGGGTGGGACCCCATTAAGCTCGCAGCAGCAGAAGCTGTCCTCCGTCACGTTGAGCTGAACCACGACAGCACTGATGCTGTCGTTGCAGCCGTAGCTCTGGGCCAAAGTGCAAAGCTTCTTGGCAGCCGCCAGCGCGTCGGGCACGTTCCTGACGGCCTCCACGGCCTCCTCCATGGAGAGGCTGTCCCACAGCCCCTTGCTGCCCAGAATGAAGAACTCGTCTTGCGGCGTTAAGGTGATGGACTGGACGTGGGGACGCGGCACCACGCTTGGGTGAAGGAAGGTGTACCCCAAGATTCTTGTTGAATCTGTCACACCGTTCACTTTGCCATCCTGAAATTAGAAAGGACAGGAAAGCGGAGACAAAGGTGAGGATACTCAGCACCTGCACCTCCCTGCGCTTCACCGACGGCTGCTTTGCAGGACCCCGTTTGCAGACAAGAAGACAGTAAAGCAGAGTGACTTGCAAGGTGACAGAGCTGGGATGGGAGCACGGCAATGGCTGGTTTGCCATCCTGCACCACGCCTCCTACACCCTACTGATTTGTCATTAGCATCACCTATGCACAGACCAAAAAAGCTGAAGTTTACAACAAAGAGCCGTCTATTTTCCTTCTGCAGCTGCGAGAGCCAAATGGATTAATGTTTTACCCGTGAGTCAGACTTATCCCTCCTCCACCTGGCTTTAAACAGCACAAAGCCACACAGCTCCTTTTGATATGGGGCAGATTATGATGCTTCTCTTGCAGCTCTAACAATCATAGGTTTCATCTTGGCTCGCCACTTCAAAAACAAAAGTTCATTAAAAAAAACCCACCAACTTTAAATGAAGCATATGAGTCAAATGCAGCAGAGAAGTCTGCATTTCTCAGTCAGCTGAGCTGTAGTGAAATCTTTTATATGGCTCCAACTAATTACTATGTTTCCACTTAGGTATGACACTTCCAAGAGGAGGAGGAGTCATATCTGAAGGGAAAAAAGCAGTAAAAATTCATGTATTTAAAACGTAAATCACGTGCATGTCCAAATCCCAGGATCCTACCCTGCTTAGAATGCAAGCTTCCAGAATAAGCAGAGCAAGGGCCTGAAACAGCAAGCCTAGCTATCTGTCAGCCTGCTGCAATAGCTGCATCCCAACAGCTGCATGTTCAAAAAGAACAACAAAAGTGAGGATTTACATTCATTTGGTTCAGATGATGACTGCAGTGGTTATTATAAAGCAGATAACCACAAAGAACTGAACCAAGACTAAAAAAGTCTTCCCCTTTAAAATCACTCAGGAGGAAAAAAAACCCAAAAACTCTTGTTGGCTTGTTAACTTGTCCATTAGAAGGCTGACAGCAGTGACAGACCATCAACATACATGAAATCAATGAGTGAATATTAAGATCTGGCACAGAAAATTCCCTTTTCCTTTACAGAACATCACCTCAGTGATGCACACTATATGTTGGAGTGACTCCCTTCCAACTTGTCACGTTTGAGCTCTCTCATCACCTCTCCCTAGCACGATCAATAGGCACATGACTTATTCTAGACACACACACACACCCTGCTCACAGGCATACAGCAGGGAGTTTTCTGCCCTGTCCTCCATGACTAGGAGTACTCAATATTTATCTGTTCCTATACATATGTCACACAAGGCAAAGCAAAACTGACAGCAGTGGCTTCAAGTGTTCAAGAATGGAACAAATAGTTTTCTCCTCTCTCATGTTTCAGGTGAACCCAGGGTGAATTTTGAATTTTGGACAAGTGCACTCTTCAAGAGAGCCTGTCAAAGGGCAGCTCTGGGAATGCAGGAGCTCACACAGCACAGTGAGCCTGCCAGGAGCAAGCAGTCTCCTAAGGGAAGGAGAGCAGTGCTCCTGGTGCTCTGCCCACTCCTCCTTTTCAATTGGAGAGGTGCTTCACAACAGGTCTAACTCAGCAACACCTCTCCCCATTACAAGGAAGGCGTCTGCTATCCTGCTCCAATGCAAAAAGCTCACAATTGCTCACTCTCTGAAGCTAACCAAACTCCAGTGTGGCAGTGGAATGGAAAAGCAACTTCATTGCATGATATGAATCACCTTGAAAGGAAAATGCAGCTCTAGAACCCAAACCATTAACACTGCCTCTTAGAGGTTACCAAAATCAGCATGTAACTTCACGCACTGCTATGCAAATACTCTCCAAGGAAGCTGCAACAGTCACTGTTTGCTGACCTCTGTGATAATGGCCTTGTGCTGCTTGATCCTCTTCAGCTCTTCTTCACAACTCATGACATAACACCTGGACAAAGGCAGAGGTTTCCCATTCCGGCAGAGAATCGTTTGGCACTTCCCCACGTTTGCTGAGGTTAATGTAAAGCATCCACCAGGGTCCATGGGATCATGTTTTATATGGCAAAGGACAGCAGAGCCTCCAAGTTTCTGTCCAGCTGTTCCAAGTTTCCTGGAATTTAAACAAAACATGTTCTTTAATTGGAAAGCAAGTGTTAGGGGTTCTATGGAGAGGCAGTTGCTGTTCTGCAAGCACAAGGATTCTGGGCATTGACTCCATTGGATCACTGGGACAGAAACAAAAGTCTCCTCTGAAGACTCTGACACTACAGCAGCACTGCAGGGACAGTCACACGCAACTCTCAGGCAGCGTGTTATTAACACATGCAGATACTCAGATGTGATCAATTTTAGAACAACAAAAAAACATCTTTGCAGTTTTTAGAGTTGCACAGTTGTCTACCCCTACATCTTAAAATACATCTATTTTAAACGGCAGATAAAGAGAAGCAGAAGTAAGTACCGAGGACTATTACAAGAGTTCAAGTAGAGCTTACAAAGGGCGTTCATATTATCCAGCTGGCTCTTTGGCTTCTGAAGATACAGATCTGATTACAAAAATAAGAAGTCTAACCATGAAAACCTCTGGTTCTGAGCAAAGCCAGAAGACAGGCATTCACTGTTTTGAGAGGTCTTCAGAATAATGCTTTTAAAAGCATCAAATGATAACCAAAGAAAAGCATACTGGCTGTTAACTCCACTGTAAGAAGGCAGACTGCTCACTTACCCCGTCAGTTACTAACCCATTAAACAGGGTCTTAGAAATATTTAAGCCCGCTGTTTTAGCAGGAGTCATAGTGGGGGGAAAAAAAAACAAACTCTGGATAAACTGAAGTTTTCAGAACCCTGTCATTAGAAAGTAAATTAATTTCAGTACTAGACTGTGAAAAACCATCCATCTGTGCCAGTATCTTTTTTATCACGGCCTTCTCCTGTAGTAATTTGGAATTACAGTAATTAGAAAGCTAATTACAAAGGTTAATAAAATTTATATTAAAGCTAGGTATAGCTGGCAAGAACTCGAGTCAAAATCCTGAGGGGAGAACACACAAATGCGTTTATAACCAAGCTCCAATGTGCTTTTTTATTTTATTTTTCAAAAAACACTTCAGAAGTATGGCATATAGCCTCTAGGAATCCTCAATGAATAGTTAAATTCAACCTGAATTAATACTATTTTTGGTTCTCCAAAGAAGGGTTAGTTAGCTTATTTTGACTTGAGAGCAAAAAAAATAGCAGCTTTTTGTAGGAATGTCATATTTCCATGCAAATGCATTAGGAGTAAGCAAAACCACTTAATAAGTACTCTTGATATTAAAATGTGTTATTTTTAAAATATTTTAAGTATAAGGCAATCACTTTCTCAGCTTCCGGCCTGAGGCATTGTTATAAGCTACTATGGGAAGGAAGCATTTTTGCATTTTCTCTCTTCTGTTTGTAAGCTTCAATACCATCCTACTGCTTCCATATTTTTCCCAGTACCGGAACTTCAGTATTTTTCATTTCCAAAGGTACAGCAACTGAATGATACACAATGCTACTTTTAACTTGATCCATTTTCTCAGTCTCTAAGCTCCTTATTTGCCTTCTCCTTTTGCCCTGGCCTCTTTGTTCTCCTTTGTTCAATTCCCTTCATAGTCGTCCTTCCCCTGGTGTCTCCTCAGGCACAATTTCTTCTGTCAATAAGAGCAAGCATGCACATTTCCAAACCACTATACAGAGCTACTATCACACTCACAACTATCGTAAAACTGTCTTCTTGGATGGGTCCTGCCCAAACACTATTCAAGGCCAAAGGGATGACAGGGCACAGACATTTCTAAGGAGTCAAACTACACGTTTTAAGTATTTGTGTAACCTTAAGTAAACTGAACTGGTACAGAGAAACAGAAAGGATTAGGCCAGCCTTTGCAGTCAGGAGTAGTAAGGAAGTTTAAAAGATGATCACAAGATTCATACCACTGACCTGGTTATGGCCAATTGTGAACCCTCAGACTTAGAGAATATACCAGAAAAGAGTAAACCTCAACCTGCCACCTAGTCATGAGCATTTAGTAGCTTTAAAGGTAGGTAGGTGGGTAGTTTTTTTTGTTTGGGTAGGGAGGTGTTGGGGTTTATCTCCCCACACCTGAAAGGAACAGAGAGGAATATCCACAAGACAAGCAATAAAAGAAGTCACAGCTAGATACCAGGTTTTTTTCTTCCCCTCTGGCATTTTTTGAAGCAAGAAAAGAGCAAGTGTCTGACCTGAAAATGAACAAAGTGCCCAGTAAGCATATACAAAGTAAAAAAGGCTTCAGATCAAAGACTCGCCTTTGCATAATGATGAAAGTGTTGATCATGTATTCCTCCTCATTTTTTGTTTTCTGCAGCTCTTCTGCTAAGATGTCACTCATTGTGCACTGCAGCAGATATGGCACTTCCACGTTACGGTCACCGTCGAAAACACCATAAAGTGCCTCCCGGTTGTCACAGAAGTTATTGGCTGAAAGTGCTGCCACACATAGCCTGGTGAAAAAAACAAAGCAGGAGAACATCAAGATTCTTACCCACTACTAGTTTCTTACCACATCATTTCTACCAGAGGGATGTGGTCTGGTCCAAGAACTACTTTTAGCCACCTCTGCTCACAAGCATTTCAGGACTGCTTTCTGAGCTGTGGAGAAGAGTCAGGCCCATCAGTAGTTCCAGAATGTTGAGAGAACTGTACCAGTAATAGAAGCCAAGTCTTAAGGATTCTTTGTCCTTTTCAGCATATGAACAAGTCCCTTATTGTAGAAATAGGGGGAAAAGTATATCAAACAACGTCAGTTTAAACTGCACTTGCTCCTCCAAAAGCCATCCTTGTCATTTAACATGCTGATGACCGGGTTATGTTAAATGAGTTAACAAGTAAGTAAAAGCTTGTTGGCACTTGCTACGGAAACCTGGGTAGCCAAAGATTTCTAAAAAGGTATTTAAGGAACAAAGAAAGATTCATCACATTGCCAGTAACACAGAATAGCAGATTCTTGGTACATTATTTGTCAAGTGCTGCCTTAGTCACAGGAGCCCTGCACACTATGAATATTCAGAGTTTTGGCTGTTCTGCCTCTTCCTTTAGTTTCTCTGATTTACTTGGTAAACATCCTTTGACTGAAGATAAAGAAGCTTTGCAAAGAGGAAAATGCTTTCCAACACTCAGATATTTCACACGTACGGGAATCCTGCACAGACAAAATGTGTCGGTTACACTTGTATCTTAGCAACTTCCCCAACAAAGGCCGACGTGGAGACCCAGGCAGGGGCCCAATATACAAATATACAGTCACGGCATGGCCTCTGCCTTTGTGAGGCCCAAAATGTCCCCAAAACTGTCACTGAGAAAAGGATTTCTCTGTATAAGCACAGAGGCACTCTGCTGCCAGGATGCCCCTGTAAGGCAAGACACGCCAGGCCATACTTGTTCTTAACGCCCGAGGCCTCTGTGTAACCGTGGCTCCACACCGCCGGGGCTCCCGAACCGTCACTGGCCAAGGGCTGGTCGATCTTGAAGCAACGGATATTGCTGCAAAGAGAAAGGAAAGGGAAAAGGTGCAACGGATTGAAATGTTGACATAATCCAGCTTAAAATGCAAAGAGAACACCTTTTTTCCCTCCCAGTTCTTAGTAATCCATTTAACAGAAGAAAATTAAGCGGGACATCCAAAGTCATTATTTTTGTGTGTCTGTACAAAGAACAAAAAAGCAGTAAATAACTGAGTAAAAGTAAACTCCCTCTACTAGGGTGTCAGCTACACTGTTTGGCTTAGCTGGCTTCTCCTTCCCTGCCCTCATTGCTGGGCTATTTGTTTCAAACCTAACCACCCTGGTAGGAATACATGGCAAGTTTTTCACCAGCCAGGGGAGCCATTCTGCCTTCCCCAAGTGTGCAGTTCAGTTTTTGCTTAGGCCCTTGATCCTCTACGCTCCAATTTACTACCAACATAGCCTTTAGCCTGAATTTCAAATCTCTCACACAGTGCAGCAGACTTAAAGGGCCCAGCCCTCCCTCTCTACACCCTTCTCTTCAGAGCCCTGCTTTGCTGGGGAGAGCTGACCTCCTCCCTGCTCCCTACAGCTTTCTTCCAAAGGCAGGGAAAGCAAGCTCCCCACAAGCTCCCGACACTTCAAGGGCACACAAACCTTTCATGAACCAAACAAATCATAAAAGGACACAATCAGAAGGGTCTAACTGTTCACTCCGAGCATTCATTTTTCTCTGTCCAAACTCCTCCCTGACCTGAACACACAAATCTTTTCAGCATTGAACAGCCTTCCGCAAGTAACACGAAGTGCTGTCACATCCACCCTGATTTCTTTTTATGCTAATACCCAGGATGCACATCAGCAAGGGCAGCTTCAAAGCAAACAAATTACATAAATAATGTTGGAGACACTAGTGTTTTAAGCCCTTGGTTTTGCAGCCCTCTGTGTGACAAATGAGGCAAACATCTTGCCATGAGCATTAGAAAAGATTGCTTGACCCCAAATCAAACTGGAAACCTGGATTTCTTCTAAAGTAGCAGAGATTTTAATTCCATCTGCACCTGCAAAACACTACACACACAAGCCAACACACTTTCTTTCCAGACTTCTCATACAGGCACTTATCCTTCAGGGCAGAGGAACCTGGATCAAAAATGCTTTTCTGTTTGTTTCTTTTTTAACTGAGTTGACTGGCCCCCAGTTCCAGGGCAAATCAAGGACCCAGAGCTATCTCAAGGCTTCACCGTAGTCATGAAAAAAAGCTACCTCAGTGCTTGCTTTCAGTTTTCCTCAGTGACAGCACTACAAATAAACCATGTGCCTGGAAAGGAATGATATCCAGAAGCATAAGCTATGCAGGGAGCATGGGCTAAGGCTTATGGACAGCATGGTTTATTTTCCCCCTAATTTAAAATGACTGTTACAATTGAACTAGGTGCTCTTTTCCCAAAAATCAGAGTAGCACCATTTTTTTTTTTTTTTTTTTAAATTGCTACCGAAAATTCTTGCATCCAGCAAATCGCTTGACAACTTCCTCCTAAGCACGCAAGCCTCCTTTAAGATCTCCATACGTATTAAAAAAGCATGTGTGACAGGACTCTTCTTCTCACCAGCACTATGAATACATATTAACCCACTACCTACTTGAATCCTGCCAGGGCACAGATGGAGAGCTGGCTTTCACATGCAGAAAAAAAAGATATAAAAAGTACCAACTGCACAAGCGTTTTTGTGCTGCCACAAAAACAAGTGAAAGGACCACCTCCTCCCTCACAGTCAATTATAGCAGCATACCATTGAAGTCACTGTAGTATATTAGTACAGTCACTAAAAAGCTCTTCAGGAGGCCTGGAACACATGACTGTGGCTAACGAGTATTAAAGAAGAAAACAGACCTGAGGTATTAAGAGTAATTTGTTTAAAAAACAAACAAACAAACCAAAAAAAACCCCACACAAACACCAAAACGCGGAAAAGCAACAAAAAGTTTTCTGTGAATCAAAGGACAATATGGCCAGCAACTGGGCCACACTACTCTTCTACTACTTAGGACTCAAAAATGTACAATTCTGCTATAGGGTACGATGCCTGAATACTGAAGTGGTGATAGATTAGCTTGTGTGTAACCCAGCAGAAAATATGGACAAGGAAAGCTGACCTTTCACTTTAAGTTTCAACAATTCAATTAGCTTTGTTTTATATATATAAAAAAATATATATGCACATATGTATTTTCGCCCTGCCATGAACCAGAGCAATTTTACACCTTGTTCCTTCAGGAAAGTTTCCTGTATACAACAAAGCAGCTCTTAAAACAGAAGAACACCCCTTCTCCTCCTCCTTCCTCCAGGTTTGCTGCAGAACATGGACTTGTTTTTACTGGTGAAAACTCATCATTATTCAAATTTCCATTTCAATTTGATTAAATCTGCTGATTCAAGCTAAAAGCAAACTCATGCCATAAGTTTCCCTTGCTGGCACAACAGCTGAGGTTTATTACTCCAGTGACTTAGCCTTAACCATTTAAAAGCAAACACCACAAAGAGACTGCTGAATCCTTAAAAAATAAATCATAGAATCACAGAATCGTTTTGGCTGGAAAAGATCTTTGAGATCATCAAGGCTAACTAGTAAGCTACGGCTGCTTAGTCAAGTCTAACCTGATTCACTGCCAAGTCCATCACTAAACAACGTCCCTAAGTGTCACATCTACAAGTCCTTTGAATACCTCCAGGGATGGTGACTCCACCATTTCCCTGGGCAGCCTGTTCCAATGCTTGATAATCTGCTTGGTGCAGAAATTTTTCTTGATGTCCAGTCTAAACCTCACTGGAACAACTTGAAGCCATTTCTTCTTGTCCTGTTGATTGCATGTGAGAGAACCGGCCCCCACCTCGCTACAACCTCCTTTCAGGTAGTTGTAGAGAGTGATAAGGTCTCCCTACAGCCTCCTTTTCTCCAAGCTTAAAAACGCCATTCCATCAGCTGCTCCTCGTAAGACTTGTGCTCTAGGCCCTTCACCAGCTTCATTAACCTTCTCTGGACATGCTCCAGCACCTCAGTGTCCTTTTTGTAGGCACAGGACCAAGACTGAACACAGTATTCCAGGCGCAGCCCCACCGGTGCCGAGTACAGGATGGTTGATTACTTCCCTCATCCTGCTGGCTACACCCCGATAGAAGCCAGGATGCTGTTGGCCTTCTCGGTCACTTGGGCATGTTGCTGGCTCCTGTTCAGTCTCCTGTCAACCAGAATCCCCCACGCCCTTTTCCGCTGGGCAGCTTTGCAGTGACTCTTCCCCAGGCTGGTGGTGTTGCATGCGGTTGTTGTGATTCAAGTGTAGGACCTGGCACTTGGCCTTCTGGAAGGTCATACCATTGGCCTTGGCCCATCCATCCAGCCTGTCCAGAGGTCCCTCTGTAGTGCCTTCCTACTCTCAAGCAGATCAGCAGTCCTCCTCCACATGGTGTCATCTGAAAACTTACCAAGGGTGTGCCTCAATCCCCTTACCAAGATAACTGACAAAGATAGGATACAGAACTGGCCCAAATACTGATCCCTGGAGAAGACCACTTGTGACTGGTCATCAACAGCCACAGCCTTTCCATCAACATCTAAGCTGGTCATCTTCACTAGCATGACCTTCTTCTATGACAAGTAGGACCTGTCTTTATTAAAGTGATTCCCTTCTTGGAATCACTCAACATTTAATCATCAGAGTTAGAAGGAAACTCGGAGTTTGTGCAGTTCCATTCAGAACGTAAGAAAAGCTAAAGGCAGGACCACTACCCACAGATAATCTGGTTTAGTGCAGCAGTTCCCCAACACACTGAATAAGAACACACAAAACACTTCACAAACTTCTGTTATGGATGACCCATAAGTTCTAGGACAGGAAACAGACAGGAAGGAAACAGAGGGTCTCAAAGCAAGGGAACTAGCTTTGCTGCAAGCAGAGCGAGGGGTGTGAGTCTTCCAGAGAGCTGTAGTCCTTTAGAGAGCTTTACACCTCCTTGTTTTGTGGTTGTCACATCCTAGGAACAGGAGTCATTCTGCCCCCTTCCCTACTCTGTGAGGTAACTTACTTCAACAGTTCTAGGGTTTTGTGATCCAAGGCTAATCTGGGATTTCCAGTCAGATCCAGCTCTTGTAGTTTTGGAGGCAGGTTTTCAGGCAATGTGACTTCACTCAGTTCATTGCAGCTTAGGTCCACACACTGTAAAAGGAAAGCAAATAAGCAAGAGAATTCAGCTGTAATCAAGATCTGCAAAATTTTGATTAATTGTATTGATGCATGCTTCATGAACAATAAAGAACTAACACCACTCACTTAAGTAAGTGGCTCTTACCAAAGAAATTCATATGCATTTAGCTATCTTACCAGATGCCTGGGACACCTAGACACATGTTCCCTTCATTCCCATTTCTGGCTATGTATCATCTTTTTACAAAACTAATAAGTTCTGTCTGCTCTTCACAAAGACAAAGATGGTCCATGTGTTTTCAAGCATTTAAGAAAAAATGTTACTGATTAAACCAGTCTTTTAATAGATAAAGGAAATTGAGATAAAATACAGCTTGAGCTTCTAAGCCACTGACATAGCAGTCCCTCCTCCAAAGTCAGTTTAAACCTGTTTGAGTATGGGCAGGCTCTCAGGAATTCATTATTTACTGAGGGATATCAAAATAAGCAGAGTTATGAATGCATGTGGAGGAGAGATGCAGCAGTTGGGGAAAAAAAATATTGGAGCAGTTTTAAACAGTTTTAATTCACGTTATCTTAGATGGACTAGCATTTAAATACCAAGACAATAAAATTAGTGAAAAAAAAAAAAAAGCTTAAATATTCAGAAAAAATGTGATACAAGCCAGCAGAGAAACTTGCTGGCTATCCACCAGCTACACACAAATTAGCTAGAACAAGTGCACTAGAATGACAAAATCCCTGAACAAACACTGTTTAAAGCTGCATATCTGGATGAAAGTTAATACACAAGGAAAAATGCAGCATTTTAGAACAAAAACTCCCCACACCCTATTACAGGACCACCAGTGTAGCATGCATGAAAAAAATGAAAGAAAAACAGTAAATTTGAGAGGATAGAACATGCTGGTATTTAGCAGAGGGTAGAAGAACTACCCACACATTTCAGAAAGATTAAGTTCTACTGATCATTTTCTACTTAAAGCCTGCAAAAAGAGAAAGACTTCAAAAACTTTAATAAAACAGAAAGCTGAAAGGGCTGGGGGGAAGCTCTTCCTAGCCGCACGTTGTGACCATTATTTAATTTCCATTGACAGAAGTAAGACACTTCCATTTTTGTAGGTGTATTCAAAGAAATGGGGCCCTGGGCTGGAAGAAGGCGTAAGATAACCTAGCAAAATCTGGAAAAGAAACAACTCCTAACATTTTATTAAATACATGGAATGCAAATAATGAATTTCTGACCCAAATCTTGAACCCTGAGGTTGTTTAATATGGAGGCCTTATTATCTATATCAAACTAACTGTTTGGTGCTATCTAAACCTGATAAGAAAATTAGCATTTAAATCTGTCACGCAAATAAAATAGCAGACGGCTTAACAGAACAGTTATTCCAGTAAGCTTTTTTTCTTCCACACAACTCCTTGCTGCTTCTAGAGAGCCAGTAATTACTTGCAGATAAAAGCAGCTGCCAGCAGGCCTTGCTGTGTTCAACACCTCAATGCCATTACAAATTTTATGGAAGAGCATGCTGGAATAACAAGTACCAAAAAAAAAGAAGAATCTGTTAAATAATTTTATTGTTCTCATTAAATGTCCCATATGCAAAACTCTACAGCAGATCCCTTGGTCCCTAGGCAAGAATGAAGACAGCTTATTTATCAGGTTAGGATTTCTTAGATTTTATTTGTACTTTTTGAAGAACAGTCTAAGAGCCACTTTTTACATACTCATGTTTAGTCCTTATTGTACTCCCCAGGCATGCAAGAAAGCACCCTCCCTAAATGACCCAAACTTCCTCATGAATTATTTTAATGCAAGCTGCAATGCTCTAGCCCTGACCTAAAGAAATCATCAAGAGGCCAGAAGAACCCAATATGCTCAACAAGGAACTTTCCCATTTGGCAACTGTATAAACTCATCTCACGTAAGTGAAAGCCAGGCTTGAGTACTGGCCAGGCATTTTTTTTCCACCAAGGTGGAGTCCTAGAGCATTGTGCCTTCTTTGAGGAAGTCACACACGCTATCCCTGCAGTCCCAAAACAGTTAGTGATGCCCATGCCCCTTTCTGCTGCTAAAAAGAACCTAAATAACCATAGGGAACCAGCAGGATCAAATTGCCAGGTCTTCCAAAAGCGTGTTTCAGCTAAGTGTTGTGGCCCATTAGCACTTTAAATACTGGAGCTTTTCTAAAACATTCAACTGTCACCAAAATGCACGAGCAAAACTAAAAAGTGGACTGGTCCCCATCAGTGTGTTTACTACTTTTTTTTTTTTTTGGTTAACACCACCCCCATATTTTAAATGTTTACACCGCAGAGCCTTGCTCCTCCACCCCAACTCTTCCTCTAAGAAAAAAGGCTCTGCTTCTGACTGATCCTAAATAGCCCTCCATTTCCTCTAGCCATTGTTCCAAAGAGGGAGGAGTATTCAAAAACCCACAAGTTTGTTTGAGATTTCCTGGCTAAAACCACAAAGCTCATCTTTACATATACTTGTTGTCCAACAGAATTATTGCTCCTGCTGCTCTGCCTGACCCCAGCCACTGAGGCACACACGACAGTCTGGGAACTTAGCCTTTTGACTTCACAGAGCACCTGAAGGACACTCAAGTTGTTCCGAGTCCACAAACAGGTAATAAGTTCTCAGCCCTGCAGAGTGAGAGATTTTCTGCTGTATCACAAGATTTGTATGCTGCCCGTTAACTGTCTTCCAGCTCTGGCCAGCAGAAACACCACACAGCGCAAAATATTCTGCATTATAGCCTGGCAAGAAGTAGGAATACAATTCACAGCCAAGACATAGGAACTCAATTCACTCAATTCAAGGTAAGTAGTAGTGCTCTTCACTGAAGTCAAGCAAACAATGCATTCCCCAAAAACAAGTACAGCATTACTTTTGGAATCAAATACAAGAGACAAATTAAGCATTCCTAGTTGTACAAAATATGACTGCAATTAGGAAAATGAAAGTAGCTTGCCTGAACACTCAAATGCTGCACTCCTGGAATTTATCCCTGTCCCCAAAGCCTATCCTACTTGCAGCTTCAGCAGTTTTTAACATGCGCTCTAAACAAAATCTATTCCTACACAACTAACCAACTGACAAGGTAACAAGAGTTAATCATGCAGAGCTCTTGCCAAATACTTAAGTCATATCATAACAGGCTATCACAGGGAGACAATTAACATTTATCTGGCAGAGAAGATAGGATCCAGGGAAGTTGAGTGTAAAAATCACATTTTGAGGCTCTTCCTCCATTTTGCTCTGAGGCAGCACAGGGGTGAATATTTTGCATATGACCTCAGAAGAGAAAGCAGCTGACAGATCTCTGTAATCTCTAAGAATATACTATCCTGCAGCAATGAGAAACCTGAGGGGATAATAGAATTGGTAAAGTTGCATTATACTCACTTCTTCCAAAGCACATTTGTTTCCTACCTTTATTTCAGAAAGCTGCATGACTTCTGGGAAGACTTCGATGCAGTTGGAGTGAGCAATTACTGTATGCATCCGTCTACAGTTCATGATGGTTGTTGGAATGGCTTTCAGTTTGTTCCCACTAATATCAATTTCCTCCAACTCTTCCAGCTTGGCCATTTTGCTATGAAAACAAAAGTTTGAGAATTTTCCTTTTGATACGCAGACATTGTATTTTGAAGTGGTGATAAGAGTAGTGGTTTTCATTATTTTAAGAAAATAAAATCACAGACTTTGAACCTTGTTCACAGCAGTGTCTGCCACCTCTCTTCACATCAGATGCTAACAGCTGTGGAACAAAATGTGTGCTTCTGTCAATGTTTTGTTAATGCCACTTTTCAAATGACTTGTTTTGCTTTCATCCCCCCAGCTCACTTTCACTCTTTTTCCTCCTTTCTTCCCCTTTTTTTCAACTCTAGTTTCTCACTTCTTCCCCATTATTCACCTCCACCTTCTAGCATCCCACTCAACCCTTCCCCCTAATTCACCTGCCTCCCTTCCCCGTGGTGTGGAAGCCCAGAACGCTCAGAAAAGCACAAAAGGACTGAGATGTTTCTTCCTTTATTTGCTGGCATCTCTTCTCCAAGGTTACCCACCAGCTTTACAGCACATCTTACACTTGAAAGACTTCTGATTAAAACAGAGTGAATTCAAAGTACAGGAATTGCTGCTAAGGCAGCATCTCCTGACTGAGAGGATTTTTCCTTAGTGGACTTAAGTCCACTTCTAGAGGACATTTCCAGACTGCCATGCTCACAGGTATCTTGTAAGGAAAAGCCTACCAGGTGTAAGCAAAGTGATGAAGCCAGGGAAAATGGAAGAATCCCTTGCTTGACTTCAAAAGCGTGTTATGGCTATGCTGAATAAATTCAGTTGAAAAGAGTTTCAAGCATAATCAAAACACACCAACTAGTGTGTAGCATTCACTTATCTGGGTGAGGCAAGATGTGGCAGCCACATGCAAGAGTGCACAGAGGATGAATCCATCCACTGCAGTAACACTACAGTCAAAATACAGCAGGTGCCACCACGTTTCTGCACAACTTAGCTCTCACTGTGAAAATGTTTCCTGATGCCCACCCACCACCAGTGGGTCAAAGGCAACAAAACCAGTTCCTTACCTGGCAGGGAAGCTCTGTAGGCGATTGTAAGCCATGTGCAAGATTTTCAGGTGTGGATGGCCTGTTAACAAGGGTACACATTTATCTGTGAGGTTGTTATTGGTCAAATACAATTCCTGCAAGATGCTATGGGTTTCTTCAGAAAGAGTGGCTGGAGGAAGCATTTCCAGTTTGTTGGCAGAGGCATTAAGAAATCTCAGGCTGCAAAGACAAGTTGCATAAGGGAGTTCAGTGAAACATCCTGAAGGTTTTGTCTAGAAGTATAAAGAAAATAACTAATTTTTTTCAAGTTAAAAAGCAAAGGTCAAAAGCAACAAGTTCAGAACAACAGATACAAAGACCAGAAGCCTAGCATTGTATGAATAAAGCTTCTGATTACATTTTTAAATGAACACATTTGTACAAACAAAACATCAGCAGAACAAGTATGTCAAAATCCCTCATTCCCTACCAGGACCTCAGTACCTCCAACATTACTACAGATGTACCTACAGATAAGAGCAATAACAAACCACATAATTTCCATATTCATTCCACGTAAAAATGAATTCTGAATTAATCACCAATGAATCATGAGAGTATAGATGCCTTTCAAGAGACTAAAGAAGTCACTGGTAAAAACGTCAGCCAATTTTTCAGTATTTTAAGTGCTGGGTAGGGTACAGACAGTATTTTGTTTGAACTTGCATGCCTGAAAGTAACTATAAACTATGAAAAAGTACTGTTTGAATATTTGCATAACTAAAGACGCACCAATCACAACACCACCAGCCCAAGATCAAGCAGTAAGGTGCCTTTTAGATTTTAAAGGGAGACAGTGCTAACAGTAAATTAAATTTTAAAATTCATGTACTTGCTTGCTGATGTATGAAGCAAGACAGCCATATCTCTCCGTAGCTCCTGAGTGCCCTTCCCCTACACCCCAAAGCAGAAGCCCTTATCAACATTTTCTGCAGTCCCACCACAAGCAGCAAGGACTGAAGAAGCACCAAAATGAAGTTATTCTTTCTCCCTCAGGAGGCTGTTTCCAGGATGGGAAAAAGACCCGCTGTGGTACAGGCACTGCTTACTCACTCCCATCAAGACCTGGGGACAAAGGATTCATGTTTCTTTAGGGCAGTTTGGTGATCACAGCAGCACTGGAGTAATATAAACTATAGGCATCTTGAGGGATAGAATTCACACAAACAATTCCAAAGAAATAGAGAAATAAGGCTATTTATCCTTTAATAACTAACTCTGGCATGACTGTGCCTTTACAACAGAAATAAGACCTCTCTCTTCCTTTCTCTGCTTTTCAGAAAAGGCTGCCTAAGAGAACTTGCAATACAGAAGTGTGTGCCTACCAGTCTGCTGTGACCACGTTCAAACCAGGCTGTACTGCTCCCACCAACTAACAGGAATGGGCAGCTGCAATGGGCAAAGTTGTATTCAGGAAACAAGACTCAGAAATAAGCTGGCTGAAGCCTATAAAGCCACTGATCAGGACAGAAAAGGTAGGTGCACTCCTGACATTGATCTGAAGAGAAAGTGATAAAAAACTGAAAGTGTATTAATGAATGAAACTGATTTGCAAGAGTCGCAGCTGGTTGAAACTTGCTCAACAGCAACTGAGAGTCAGACGTGGTACAGAGGAGTCACATGGAATGCCAAAGGACTGAAACCCCCCCACTACTTCCATTAGAAGCAAAACTCTCACAGCACTGCACAGAACTGAAATGAGGTTAGCTGTTTTACACAGAGAGGTCCACTTCGGAGACACAGTTTAATCCTCAGGCTCATGCATTATTCACAAAGGTGGTAAAACTCCAGAGGAGGATAGGAGGAGGGGAAGAATTAATACAGAGATGTGAATAAGCAGTTGAAAGGGTTTTTTATTTATTCATTTATTCTAAAAAGATGCCACTCAATTTCACCCTTTAGCTATAAATTAAAAATATGTTAAGCTCCTTCAAAGTTTAATAATCAAACTGAAGCATACCACATCAATAATTCTGTACTCAAACACCAGCAAGCACACCTATTGCTAAAGCAGAATCACAGGATAATTCTGGTTGGAAAGGACCTTTAAGATCATCAGGTCTAAACAGTAACCCAGCAATGCCAGGTCACCACTAAACTGTGTCCCTAAGCACCACTTCTACATGCCTTTTAAATTCCTCCAGAAATAGTAACTCCACCACTTCCTTAGGCAGCCTGTTCTAGTGCTTTCCAACCCTTTCTGTGGAGAATTTTTTTCCAGACCAAACAACCCCAGTTCCATCAGCTGCTCCTCATAAGACTTGTGCTCTAGACCCTTCGCCAGCTTCATTACCCTTCTCTGGGCCTGCTCCAGCACCTCAGTGTCCTTGTAGTCAGGGGCCCAAGACTGAACCCAGAACGCGAGGTGTGGCCTCACCAGTGCCAAGTACAGGAGGACAATCACTTCCCTAGTCCTGCTGGCCACACTGTTTCTGATACAAGCCAGGATGCTGTTGGCCTTCTTGGCCACTTGGGCAAATTGCTGACTCCTGTTCAGCTGGCTGTCAACCAACACCCTTAGGACCTTTTCTGCTGGGCAGCTTCACAGGCACTCTTCTCCAAGCCTATAGCACTGCCTGGGGTTTTTGTGGCCCAAGTGCAGGACCCAGCACTTGTCCGTGTTGAACCTCATCCCATTGGCCTGGGCCCATCAATTCAGCCTGTCCAGGTCCCTCTGTAGAGCCTCAACAACTCTGGCAACCTCAATCTAATATGCATGCTAGTCTTCTCTCACCACAAAAACAGGCACTTTGATTAAAGCCACAACACCTTTTGTACCACTCAGTACAAAAGGGGTAGCACTCAACAGTCAGGTTCAGGATAGTCACATACTGATCTCTTACCTGTAGGCAACATCATTAGAATTAAAGCAACTTTTTAGAAAAGAATACAACGGTGATTTACATGTTCCATGTTCCCTTTGACCAGCTGTTACATTAAAGTGATAAACATTCTGAAAAGATAATGTTTTAAATATATTATCTGAATTTTAAAAAAAGAGGGGATAAACCAGTTCACTGGGCAGAGAACAGAATGAACCAGTAGACTGCAACTGTCACAGCTTTGTCAATTCTGTGCTATAATCTTATGTCCAAAAAAGAGGGGGGGGTGTGTGTGAAGAAAAATCCATACTTGCCCATCAGGTTTTCTCTCACAGTCTTTTAATATACAAGTCTTCCTCCAAGTTATTTCCACACCCCTGTTTCTTAATCCTCATGCAATACTCCAGCTACTACCTTAGAAGTCACATCTTATAAATGCCCTCCAGTGGAGTGGAAATTTACTGGGGCACAACTGTTCCCATCTCTCCTGTAGATGGACTTAAACTGAATCATGCTCCTTGAAGATATCCCACTCATATTGCTTATCAGATGGAAGTGGAATGTCAAGTACTAAAGCTCAGTCCAAAATTAATTGTTTCCAATTCCACCCACACGTTATACCACAAGCTCATGAAAAAAGTACAGCATCACAAAAACCTGAATTCAAGCAGCCTGTGCACATACCAGAGTATAATATAATGAGAGCATGAATTAACAGGTACTAAAAGAGTGAAGAAATTAAGTGAGAAATGAAAGCACTGGCAGGGAGATGCCAGAATTCCTCAGCTTTGACAAGGTGCAAATTCTCCTGAGTAATAAAAGAACATTGATCTCTGGCTGGACTATGTCACCTTTAGTTTTATGGGGTATTAAAGTACAATCTCTTGCTGGATTTAACTTCTCCAAGAGACAAAATAAAAATAAATAAATAAATAAAACATCCCAAAGATCAGGCTAGAATCAAGGACATGGACCTAATTCAACAAAATAGACCTAAAACACAGTCACATCCATCCTTTGTTTAAACTCAGAGGATTCTGACCTCAGTTTGAATTTGCAAAAGCAAAGGAAGAAAATCTTCTACTGAAAACTGCAAAAGGTTCAAAATTTTTTTAACATCAATGTCTACCTCTAGCACACACAAAAGCTGAATATAGACAATTGTGAGCATGCAGCATCTCCCAAGTCCTCACCATTTTCTGAGGCAGCTTGGCAAACTTGCCTTGCTAGTAGGACACAGCCATCACTGAAAAATGCAAGTCCTCAAAAAAACTTAGGAATGTTCAACAATATAAGGACCAACACAGACAACTGTATCCAATAGTGAAGCAGCAGCAAATCAAAAACAATCTGCTTAGCCTGAAAGTACTGATAAGGGTTGGAAAGAATACTGAAACTGCAAAAAGAGCATATACAGAGAAATCAAGATCTCCAGTTTGTCCTGTGCCCCAAGATCTCCATCAGCACAGAACAATCAAAATACAAAATTTCTTCTTCAGTCCTTTTTGCAAAGACATGCTCACAATTTTTGATTGTCTAATTTGACAACTTATGATTGTGATAGCAGGTGTGTGAGAAAGAATCCTGTAAGATAAGTGTGTCTGGGGGCGGAAAAAAAAAATCAAGGAGAAAAAAAAAAAAATCAAGGAAAAAAAAAAAAAGGCAGTTTTGCCAGCCTGTGCAAGAGTATTTCTTCTCCATTGAAAAAAGGCAGAAACATTAAAGCAATTCCCCTTCCTGTTGATGACTGCCAAAAAAAAACACTTACCTCGTGCTTGTATCCTCACCTCTTAGTTTCTAACCTATCTTCAGATGTTTCATTAACTGGTATTTCCCCAGTTTCTACCATATCTGTTTACAAACCCTAACCTACCAGCAAAGAAACAAACAGTCAAGCATTTCTGCCACAACAGTGTGTGTGCGTTGTGGTTTAGACCCAGCCAGGAGCTCAGCACCACATGGCTGCTCACTCAACCTCGCAACGGGAAGGAGAAAAGGGAGAAAAAAACAAAACCCCATGGGCTGAGATAAGGAGAATTTAATACAACAATGCAAAAGGAGCAATTAAAAACAGTAAAAACAGTAACAAAACAATATATAAAGCAAGTGAGATGAGGGATAGACCACATCAGCTCTGAACTGCTACGGTGGCATGACCCCCTGACCCTCTCCCAAAAAACACTAGCCCAGCCCCCATGTCATAGGCATGACAACAGCATGGTATCCAATAACCTGAGGCTCAACATGAGCCGGCAGTGCGCTCATGCAGCTCAGAACACCAACTGCAGCCTGGGATGCATCAAAAGAAGTGTGGCCAGCAGATCGAGAGAGGTGATTCTTCCCTTTTACTCTGTTCTTCTGAGTCCTCACCTTGAATACTGCATCCAGTTCTGGTGTCCCCACCATAAAAGGGACACAGATCTGTTGGAATGAGTCCAGAGGAAGGCCGCAGACAATCCAGAGGCTGGAGCATCTCTGCTATGAGGAAAGGCTGAGGGCACTGGGATTGATCAGCCTGGAGAAGAGATGACTCCAGGGGGCCTTGATAACTGCCTTCCAAAACCTGAAGGGAACCTCCAGGAAGGCTGGAGAGGGACTTTTCACAAGAGTGTGCAGTGACAGGACAAGGGGAAATGGTTTTAAACTGAAGGAGAGAGGGTTTGGACTAGATCTGAGGAAGAAGTTCTTCGGTACGAGGGTGGCAAGACTCTGGACTAGATTGCCCAGAGAGGCTGTGGATGCCCCTCCCTGGAGGTGTTTAAGGCCAGGTTAGGTGAGGCCCTGAGCAACCCAGTCTAGTTGAGAGGTGTTCCTGCCCACGGCAGGGAGGTTATGCTGGATGATCTCTAGGGTCCCTTCCGACCTAAGCCATTCTGTGATTCCAGTTATTCCCTTGTCTGGTTGTCCATCCCAGCTGAGGCACCCTACCCTCCCCCCAAAAAAAGACAACAAAACAACCCACATTAAAAAGCCTGTACAAGAATTAGACAGAGCAAGAGCAGGAAAGGTGTAACAACTGAGGAAGCAGTAGACAGAAGTGAAAGGCTGCAGGAAAAAAAGCAGGTGCACGAGAAAAGGTTCAGTACACAGCTTAGGAGTTCTCCCTACCAGCCCTTGCATTTCCACAAATTCTCCATTTTTGCAGCATCTGGTAATGAGAAACAAAGGTATTATCTTGCTGCCTCTGTGGCGTTCATCTTGCCAAGAAAAACCCAACCCTACAGAAGAAATCCTTGCTAACACGATCAAGATGTGCATACTTTCAGTGCAATAACCAGAACCAAGCTCTGCCTTGGTCAGAGAAATGTTTCACAGGCTAGTCCTCAATTTCTCCTTAAGTGACAGTTTAAAATAGAAAATTAAAATGCAGACCAACAAAATATCCCTAAAGTATACTCTTCAGCAGAGAATCACACCTTTTCACTGTTTTTTGAAATCTTAAGGCAGAAGAACAATATCTGTTCATACTTCCATGAAGAAAACAGAGGTCTTCCAGTGTTTTTGCACAAATGCACCTATTTCTCTCCCTTTCTCAGATGTTCTAGTTGTCAAAGCCCATCAGTGCTTGTGCTCAAGTTTGCCCAAGGCACTTCACACCCACTTCGTCAAATATTCAGGACTGAGAAGGAGAAAGTGTTTATAATTCACAGCATGAGACTTCATAACCAGACAAGATATCATCTGGCAGTTGCACAGACCCAAGTACCCTTCCAAAAAAAAACAAAGCAATCTTTTCAAGGCTGCAAAAGGTGAGTCACTTCATGGAGAGATAAAGGTTCTGCAAGGTAAAGTGATTTGTCCAATATTACATGCTGGGTAGAGATCATGGCAGACCACTCAGGAAACCCAGTTCTCTTGGCACGTCTGGCAGCACAGATTGTGCTTCCCAGGGAAAGCCTGAAGAAAAGAAGCATTTTATCTTTTTAAACCAAACTAAAACAAACCTCTGAACACCTTTCCCTTGCCCAGACCCATTTCTGTTGACACTTAGCTGCTGACAGATGCAAACATTTGAAAACAAAACAAAAAGAAAGATGTTCCCTGTAGGCCATTCCAAACCCACAGCTTGGGCATTGTGCACTAATCTGTACTGCTGTTCTCCTTCAATTATCACTTCTGCAGCAGTCATAGGAGCACTAGCACGGAAAAGTAATTTGCAAGCCAAGTCATCTAAACCAGTGATGGGGCAGGGAACAAGGGAAAAAAACCCACCCAAGCCAACTGCTTATATCATCATCACGAGCAAGGGACATGCCAGAGTGGGTAAGCTCTGGTTATCTCCTGCAATGGGACATGACTCTGTTAATACCCATATAAGACTTCGAACACATGTGCCCAGTACTGCTTGAAAACTGCAGAACATCGAAGCTGAAGAAAGGAAAAACATCCAAGCTTTAATCAGCCACTTAAAACTGTTATTCAATATATTTCTTAATTCTACCACTTCCCAGCACACTTCTGGCAAACTTCTGGAAATCTACCCCCAGTCTTGGTTTTAGCCTGCACTTGTTCATTTTGGCATCACAAAAAAAAAGAAAGTCTACAGTTTTGTAGCTCCATTTAAAAAGATGAGTTGCCATACAAAAAACCCAGGTTCTCTCACTGCCAAAATTGCACTCATCTACACAGACCTACAACTTGTCTTTTAATGAAATTTCACAGAATTATTTACTTCTCTCTTCGTTTTCATAGAGTCCAGTAGCTTTAAAACTTAAAGGCTTCGTTCCTTTCCAAATTAACAGATAGGAATTTCAGCTTGGGATCCGTAAATAGTTTGGGGAGGGGGGTTTTGAACTAATTTCACAACTTCCTGTAAAAAAAGATTTTTACAAGGTTTTGTGTCTGAAGTTTATACAATCTCAAATGCACAACGGTTTGAAAAGTCATCCACAAGACAGTTACAGTTGCTTATGTGAAAGATCCTTGCTACATGAACAAGCTATTAATATCACCACTTCCAAACAGAAATTTGACAGCTAATTGCAATTTTTACAGTAGCAACATTGCTAAGTTTCAATGCATTGACTACACAAAGTCTCAACTGAAACAATAAATTAACATCAGAATAACTTTTCTGATAATCAGGGAAGTCCAAAGATGGTACTCTGCACAGGCTTGCAGCTGGACAGGTGTGTAATAGTGTTAACAATAAAACAAATAAAAGCACACAAATTAAAGGTTCTTTAAAGCAAATAAAGGATAAAATGTCATAATCACTTTCCAGAATCAAAACCCTGTTCTGTAATAAAGTTTTCCTTTTGAAAGAGAATTTTTAATTTAAATGATAAATTCCTCAGAACTTTACCGTTCAAGAGTAAGACAAGAGTTTATTTAGAAACCATCTCAACAATTAACCTGATTGTCCTGTGAAACCCATGAAATGTAACCAGAGGTTTATGACAGAATGAACAGTATAAAAGTAGAGGCTCCACAATACTCTTAATTTGATGAGGAGCTGTGGCAGTGAGATCACCACTACTTTTGGCTCACCACCTCCTGAGAAATCCAGGAGCAAACGTGCTCCTTTTGTCACAGCTAGGATCAGAAATAAAACCCCACAGCACACAATCTTACTGCCTGCTAAATGATGCATGGGTTGAGCACTCAGAAATTCCATGACTCTATGTGGAAGCACAGAGGTGCAAGGAACACTGACATCAAGCAGGACGAGCCCATCCACTACCCCCAGACTATACTTCCAACCTCCCTTATTTCAGTCACAACCACTTTACACTATGTGTTTGAGTACAGGACAATTATGAAGACTGACACTAAAGAAACAGCAACATAAAAAAAATAAAAATCTATAAAACAGATCAAGTGGTGCCACCAGCTAAATTAGTGACAAACATTTTAAAATCATAAAGAAAATTTCACAAAGCAAGGACAGGGGAATAACTCAGTTATTCTGACAGCCTTATGCACAGATTTTATTTTGTTTGACAGGTATAAATAAGTTCTAGCCTCTGACTGAAGGGAGAAAAAAAAAAGCTTTCACACTCCATCAAACAAGCCTAAGAAATATGTATTTAAAGAAACTGCCACTAACCCATCTCAGTGTACACAGTAGAAAATAGCATGTCCTTCACTTTACAGATAGATTTCAAGAAGTAGGTGCTAGAAAAAGAAGCAACCATATAAGGGAACAAAACCAGGAAAAAAATGATGCGTGTTGGTCAGCTGGGCAGACATCTGTTCTTACCACACAAGCCTTGGCAGCTTTCAAATTAGGGGGACCTCAGATCACCCTTTCAGCTAGGAAGTAACACACCAAGCGAGGTTCCTCACACGCAAGACAAGATCAAATTGCTTTATACTGACCTGTCTGCTTTCAAAAGCAGGTTAGAAGGCAGTTCAAGGAGCTGGTTATGTTGCACATCCAGGACCTCCACTTGCATTCGCTCCAGCCGATCCGGTAGCCTTTCCAACATGTTATGTCCTGCCAGCAGCTTACGCAAGCTACTGTTGTAAAACAACCTTAGAAAAGTAAAAAACACCGAAAATGAGAAAAATCTGAACTGAAGAGTGGCATGAGAATTTAGGTGTGATATCATAGTTCATTACAAGAAAATGATTCAGCCAACTGATTAGCAGACAGTATTGATTACGCACAGATCCAAGAATGCCTTCCCACTCTCCCACCAACTTTTTGAAAAGGTTGTTCAGAGACAAAGAATGAGGTTTAAGGATGATTCAGAAGTAGTGAGAAGGGGTTATCTTATTGCACTGTATAAAACATGACTATAGAAGCACAACAGCAAAGGAGGCAATTGCTGCAAAGGCTGCAGAAAACTGCACATGTGGGATCCCCCAGCTAATGGAAGAACTTCAGAAGTGTGGCAAAATCACTGGTCACCCCACAAGCTCTACAGTGCTCTATTCATCATATGCTGACTCATAATCCAGTGCAGTTCCCCACCCCCCAATTTTCCTTTTCTGTTAATACCAGACTAACATAAAGCCTCCCTTCCAGTTCTGCAGCGAATGAAATTTATCTAATCGGCTTTACTTTCTTGAGCTTTTACAAGCAAGAGATGACCAGGAGTCCCATCCCCCTGTTCCATTTTTTGGAGGGCTGGGGGAAGAAAGGGAGGAGGAGAAGAGGGCAACATAGATAAGAACAAACAGTTGTTTTGACCAAATAGTAAGCTAAAATTTCCAGTATAAACAATGTAATAAAGAGTTTAAAATCTGTACCTAAAGACCTCAAAAATGGAGCAAGTCTTGATTTTGAATAGGAACCACTTTCTACAAATAAAGGAAAAAATACTATTCTTCATCTGACATCTTCTGTACATTCCTG